TGTAAGCATGACCAGTATAATATACACGAAGATAATATATATTGTATGTGGGATTTTAATATCCAGTGATGATTATATTGGATCATCTTAATTTTTAAAGAATGCTATCAAAACATTATGGCACTTTGGTAATGTTATCATACTGGTTTAGTTATTATCATAAATATCAATTATTCAGGTGTTTTTATTGATTATGTTTGCACAGACCTGAAGATTATTATTTAAGGACTAATTAATTTATTTTCTATATTCTAAATACATTTGTAGTAAGTCAGTTTACTGCTGTTAAAAATTCGTTATATTCACAAAATGGAGTAGATTTTCTGGGTCACATTTATTTTTGGAATTACTCTGAAGAAAACTGTTTTCCTCCTCTGGTTAGTAGAGGGTAGTAGGCAAGGTATAGGCTATAGAATGTGCTGACTGCAGTTCCTAATGTGGAGATTAATTTCAGATGTTTCTGTTTGTAGGTGACCAACAGGAGGCAGCATAAGATTTATTTTAATTAAAACAGACTGAAAACAGGGATGAATTTGACAGTATGTATAGTTGAACATTATGCTCAATTTACTTTTTTCCTTCTAACACCCAATAAAGCATAGAGAACAGTAACATTTTGCTGCTGCCTGGGCTCTGCTGGTATGTGGAAAGTACAATACTACACGTTTGCTGAGATGTTCTTTCTTTTGTGAAATAAAGCACTGAGCAACTGAATCCTTCTCGCATCTTTTTTTTTTTTTTTTTTTTTTCCAGTGAGTTTCAAACTGCAGAGAATCTACGGTGTTTCTAATGCAGGTAATCTCTTTTGTGTTTGGGTTTTTTTCTTCTTTTCTTTTCCTTTTTTTTTTTTTTCAGGTGGAGAATATTTTGAACACTATAACAAAGAATGCAGTTAGCATGGATGAAAAGTGGAGTAAGGGGGGTTTAAAATTATCCTTAAACCCTGTATTTGTGTATCCTTTGCATACTGAGTTACTGTACCCATGCTAATTTCAATTGCCTGCTGAAAAGTTCTTAAGTTTAACACTGTAAGGTACTCATTTAAATTGGTAAAGTTTTTTTAAAATTAGATCAGGTTGATATACAAGGTTTTTTAACAGTTTAAGTATTGCAAATGATTAGGTGTTTATTTTTACTGAAATGGACCTTCCATACTAATAGAAGTAGCTTTAAATCAAAGGAGATATAAAAGCTACATAGTCTAAAGTTTGCATGCCAAGGCTTGCAGAAATGGCATCAACAGGAAGTGTCAAAGCCCTGTATTGTCTTGCATTCTTCCAAAACTTAAAATTCTGTAACCCCAAGACTCCTCTATAGAAAAATTAGAGTTACGGCAATACAAATTAATCTTCCAACACTCCAAGGCCTTTGCCCCAAAAGCTTTCAGCTAGCAAAAGCCTTTTGGAGACATGTACAAAGCATTCCAACAGCACTCACAATATTAAAAGCTTATATTGAACAATGAAGGGATTCACAGACCAAATCTGAGAGCTTAAGTTGTGTAACCCTTGTGCACAATCAGAAGGAAATTGTATATATATGTTCTACAAATCCAGGGAGTTCACCATGGATTTGAACAGTTTGCATCTGAAGCAGACCATATGGCAGGGATTTTCTTACTGTCATCAAAAGCAAGGAAGAAAGACTCTGTATTTAATGATTAAACTACACATAAATTACGCATAATTTCAAAACAGTTCACATAAAGGAAGGAGGTCCAAGAATTTTTGTTGGAGGAAACTAGTATACACCAGGATTTTTCACCAGTGATCAACAGTAAAAGCTGATCTTTTACTTTTGAAAAGTAAAAGATCTCCATAAAAGTAGAGTAACAATTCTGGGAGAAAGTAGAGCTATTTAGGATTATGTGCATGGCTACTCCAGGAAATAATAGGATTCCTAGTTAAAATTATTCTAATGGACACTAATCATATTTAGTGGGTTTGTCCTTCACAATAAACGAAGGATATTCAATGAGGTATAACTAGGACTAATTATTTTTGCAGACTAGCAGAGGTTCAGACTGTTAATGACCTCCCCTTTCCATGATTTGTCCACCTACTTGCACCTAAATCTAATTTGAACTAGCTTGCAGGACCTTTAGGGTGCACTTGAATATTATTCCTGAGCACTGTTAAAATAGTGGTAATAATTTAAGGTGAAGCCAATTTCATGTATGGGTCTCAGTAAGAAACATCCCTCTATTATATATGTCAGTAATGTAGCATGGTCTTGCTACACGACTCCTCTTCACCATTCTCCTTTTAAACTTGATTTTCAGTACACAATGGGAAAGTTTGGCAGCAAAACTATCACTACTTGTTAGCAATCTGGTAAATTAATAGTTGGCTGAAACTGGAAAATACCACTTTAGGGAGATTGGTGGTTTCATCACAGTTACGATCACTTAAAGCTGTATATAATCAAATAACTACCTGGCCAATGAAAGAACCTGGAAAGACTGAGCAAGTAACTGTTAAAAAATAGGCAAAGTAACAAATGCACACATCAGGTTAGGCAGAATAGAGGTACCAAACTTGGAAAGAGGAGGGTTACATGATCAAGGCACCAGGACGTAACACAGAAGGCAGGCAAGGAGCAGACACATCTTGTGTGGTGGAGGGAAAGCGGTTTGTGTATTCACCCCCATCAGCGGCGTGGTGGCTCACATATGCAACACTTCCCGAAAAAAGACAAATTTCTTTAATTACAGTATGTGCTAAACGTCATTTCTCCATTTTAATCACGAACCGCGCAGTTCAGGAGGAACGGCCGGTTGCCGTGCGCTCGCTCTGGGTAGCAGCATTATAAACCCAGCGGCCACACCGGTGGCTTTATGCCCGGTTACCCCGCACGTTCGGGCCCATCCCGCTTTTCCCTGAGCCCTCGCACGACACCGCCCAAGGCGCCGGCCCCTCCCTGCGCCGCGCCCTCTGGCGAAACGGCAGCACCAAACCCGCTCCGCGAAGGGTCCCTCGCTGAGGGGGCGGGCCGCGGAGGCTCCCAGCCAATCACCGGCACGTCTGGGAAGACAAGCGGCGGTTGCAGCCAATGGCCGCCCGGTAGCTGCGCGCGGCGCGGCTCCGCCGGCGGAGGAACGATTGGGATTTCGGCCCGCCTGGAGCAACAGGGCGGGGCGGAGGCAGCGGCGGACACGGAGCACCAATAGGCGTGCAGAGGAGAGTGACAGACAGGCGGTGCGCCCAATGGG